ATAGAAATGGGAAGCCACGGCAAGGGTAGGAAGGTTCGGCGATGCCCAAGTTTCCCACCTAACATTACTGCATGACATGTGCTGTGATAAAAAAGAGTTCTGTGGGAAGACAATTTTGGGCACACGGCATAATTGTTTTTCCCTTGGAGAAATACCTATTTCCATGTTATAGGCTCTGAAACGTCCCAACAAGAAGAAAATTTCTGTGTTAACTACTGTTGCCCAAACTTATTTGATCATACAACATATTTTAGCAACATCTATTCACATTCCAAGAGATTGGTATTATTCAGAACATACATTGACTAATTTTGGGGCAAATGATGTATATAAAATCACCTCATGGGTGGGCACCTGTTATCCCAGCTACTCGGGAGGTTGAGGCAGGAGAATCGCTTGAACCCGGGCAGCGGAGGTTGCAGTGAGCCAAAATCGCACCATTGCACTCCAGCCTGGGTGACAGAGCAAGACTCTGTCTCAAAAAAAAAAAAAAAAAAAAAAAAAATCACCTCATAACAGGTCATATCATTGTTACAGCTTTAAAAAATGCTGAAGAGCATGGGCCTACTGTCAACCTGTATTCAATTACTGTGACTTTTGGCCTTCCTGTAATTTTGGTGTAGGACTTCACCCTTCTATACAGTCAGAGCTTTCTTCATAAAAACCGGACAGGGTTTGTATGCAACACTCTCTACAAAGCTTCATCTCTTCCTTCAGTGCTCCAAAATGCTCATTGCCTTCATGCTGCCTGTTACTACCCAGGAACTCTCATTTGGCAAATCTCCAGGATGTAAACTCTTCTCTGCAGTATTGCATGCATCAGTGTCTTTAAACTCCCTCCCACCAAACCAACCTTATTTTTCAAGAAACAGCTTTCTGCTAGGGAACCAACTGAAAAATCCATCCTAATGTTACCAGGTTACATATTTGTAGCCTGACAGGGACTTCCTAAAAATGTAATGCCTTTATCCTAAAATAAAAATAAAGGAAGTTCCATGGTAGGGATTTCCAGAACTGGGACAAGTTAACAAAAGGAAATGTTTTGAGTTAGATGGGTCTTTAATGATCCACAGATAGTATCCCTTGAGAAGTCACCTCTTCTCTTTATATGAAGGGGACTCAGTCAGCAGGATGATGCTCTCTTTGAAGGAACCACGCTTGACTGTGTGATATATTTCTTTTCAAAAATACAAGAATCACTGGCACAGAGTCTCATAAGTGTGTGTAGGGGAGGTATCTATTTACGTTTAATGAATAAATTGCTATCTCTGCTTAAAAATGATTGTGGACTTAAAAATTTTTTTGTTTATTTTTGAATAGGTAACACACTCATGTACACAAAATCAAAAGGCACAAAAGAGCATATCATGAAAAGTATGTTTCTCTCCTTTCTCAGTGATTCTGTTTTCCTTCCCAGAGGCAACCGCTATTTCCAATTTCTTAAATTTCCTCCCATGGACATTCTATATATAAAAGTGTATACATGTATTTATAAATATATATAATTTTTCTTTTTTTACACAGATGGTAGTGTAATATACATATTACTCTTTTATTTTTTCATTTATCCAGATATCTTAGATAATTTTCCATATGGAAAGCCAGTGGCTTGGCTATTTTAATAGCTGAGTGGTGTTAACTGGATGCCTGTGCCATTTTGTTTTGCCATTTTATTGAGGGATATATAAGTTGTTGCCAATGTTTTGTATTATTAACAATATTGCATTGCATAGACTCATTGGATAAATACCTAGACATGGAATTTGTATCAATATGTATGTGCATTTTTACTTTTGAAAGATTTTTCCAAATTTCACTCCATCCCTTACACAGCCATCAACTATTTATGACTGGCTATTTCCTCAAGCCTTCATCAAAACAATATTTTATCAAATATTTTAATCTTTGACAGTTTGATAGGTGAAAAATTGTATGTGTTTTTTTTACAACACAGGAACCAAAGATAGAGAAGTTGCAACTCAGGTAAGTAGAGAGATACTGAATTAAAATAATAAGTTAACCTTAGCTCAAAAGTGATTTGAGATTTAAGCAGCTTACTTCAAAAAATTAAAGACACTTTCTACCAAGAAGCCTTACACATATATAATTCTAATGGACACTTTTAGAAGAGGAGGAAAGCCCATAACCTCCTGAGAGTTTTCTAGCTTCACAATCATGTGATTTCTGTAATACCGTGAAATAAGAAAGTACTGAACAGTGAGAATAATACTTTCATTACCAACCCATCCATGATTACAGTTTAGAAAATAAATGGAAAACGTTTCTTTTATAAAACACTAAATATATATCAGGATAAAAGAGGGAGACTACAGTTGTCTCTATTTCTTTTTTTTTTTTTTTTTTTTTTTTTTTGAGATGAATGGAGTTTCGCTCCTGTTGCTCAGGCTGGAGTGCAGTGGCACGATCTTGGCTCACTACAACCTCCGCCTTCCAGGTTCGAGCGATTCTCCTGCCTCAACCTCTGAAGTAGCTGAGATTACAGGCGCGTACCACCAGGCCTGGCTAATTTTTGTATTTTTAATAGAGACAGGGTTTTGCCATGTTAGTCTTGAACTTCTGACCTCAGGTGATCCACCCACCTCAGCCTTCCAAAGTGCTGGGATTACAGGTGTGAGCCACCGCATCCAGCCAGTTGCCTCCACTTCTGATTGATCTCAGCCTCCTAGTCTGGTGGCCACATCCAGGACCCTAAAATCAGCTGGAGCCATTCAGCCTCCCAGATTTGAAATTCATGCCTCTTACCATTTGACCACCACTTCTGGCCTTCCAGACACCTCATTTCATTATTGTTACCACAGTTGTTCTCTCAATTGACTAGGCCTTTCCCCTTTCCTCTTTTTTCTCTACCCAAGACTACCCACTTTTCTCCCCAGTGAGAAATTTAACTATATCACTGTCCATCTTTGCTTCCTTCTTTCATAACATAAACATGCACTATAAACTTAGATGATTATGAAATACTTCATTTTTCTATGAATGAATTCAATTGCAAGCCCCCATCCTAACATATAATCTTGGCAAATTCCCTGCCTTTCTCTGGACTGAATCTACATTAGAGTTTGAGGATCGTATTATGCCAAAGGGGGGCAGATGGAGTTTCAGAAACCCCTGCTACACATACTGTAGCCACCTTCTCTTTGCACTGGCAGCCTGCAGATCACCACTGTCAACCATCTGACTGTCAGAGCATGCTAGGTGCTGTTAGGCTGTCAGCTCCTTCAGGCCCTCAGGTGTACAGGAAGTCATTCCCCTGCTGCATGAGGTTGGCTTGGGCCCATGTTCCCAGACCTCACTCAGTCTTTCTTTGTGCTTTCATGAAAACAAACAAAATATTTCAAAGCATGAACAATAATACAAACCATCCATGTACTTATCACCCCAAATGAACTAATGTTATTGTCTTTTCATATTTCCTTCAGAGTGTTTTTAAAAGAAAGTAGCATGTCCTTCCTAGTATAATTCCTTTCATTTCCTTACTCCCCAGAGACAATCACTATCACAAATTTAGTGCAAATCTGCTAGTCCCTGTTGATATGCTCTTGTTTGACATAATTGTAGAAAACTACAGCATCTTGTATTTTTTTTAAAATGAATGCACAGTATCATACAGATATAATATGCTGCAACTTGATGTTGCACAATGTTTTCAAATATATCCATATATTGATATAAAGTCAATTAGTTATTTTAATTTCTGTTCTGTATATCATAGAATGAATACACAACACCTTGTTCCCATTCATTCATTCTTGGGTTGTTTCTAGTGTTTTGTTGCTACAAACAAATATTGCAACAACTATCCCTTCCTATCCTTTTTCACCATATAGTACTAAGTAATCTCTCTCACAGTAAATAACATCACCAGGCACTGGGCCTATGTGCTCCACCAAAAACTTCAGTCATCCTTGAACCCCTTTCCTCACATCTCAAAACCCCATCAAGTTATCTGTTTTGGCTTCAAAATATATTCTGGATCCAACCACTTCTCAACACTTTCAACCAATCCAAGTGATCAGCATCACTTTTCTATGATTGTAATAGTTTTCTACCCTACACCCTACAGTCTCTTCTACACAGAACAGCTAGAGTGGCCTTTTAAGAATGCACTTTAGATCAGTAGTATCTGATATGGTTTGGTTGTGTCCCCACCCAAATCTCATTTTCAACTGTAACTCACACAATTCCCATGTGTTGTGGAAAGAACCTGGTGGGAGGTGATTGGATTATGGGGGCAGGTCTTTCCTCCACTGTTCTCGTGATAGTGAATGAGTCTCACAAGATCTAATGGTTTAAAAAAATGGGAGTTTCCCTGCACAAGCTCTCTCTTCTCTGCTGCCATGTGAGATGTGTCTTTCACTTTCTGCCATGATTTTAAGGCCTCCCCAGCCACATGGAACTGTAAGTCCAAAAAACTTCTTTCTTCTGTAAATTCCCCAGGCTCGGGTATGTCTTTATCAGCAGCATGAAAATGGACTAATACAATATCCCTGAGCAAAACCCTCCAATGGCTTCTCATTCCACAAAAAGTCCAAACTCCTTACCGTGGCCTGAAGGCCTTATGTGATGTAGCCTTTGCCTACCTTCCAGATTCATCTCCTTCCACTTTCCAGTTACTAACTCCACTCCACCTCACCTTCTTCCTTTCTTCCAATGTTTCAAGTGCTTTTCTCCCATTCCTTCTTGCCTGAAATGCACTTTCCTTAGAACAAGTACACAGATCTTGTTCCCCCACTCCTCTAAGTTTCCACAAATTCACCTCAGGGAAGCCTTCCCTGTCCATCTTACCTAAAATACCACTTCCAGCACCTATCCCTTTACCCTGCCTTACCTGATATATGTGTTTATTTATAAGTTTGTCTCCATTTCATGAGAACTGTCTTGTTCATCATTTTATTCTCAAGACCTTGTATAATGCTTGGTTTAGATAGGAACTTGATCAATATTTATTCAACAAATACATTAATGAATGTTTCCTTATACGTTTTCAACCTTTTTTTCCTAAATTATAGATGTTTCTGGATCATAGAATGTTTGCATTTTCAACTAGGCAAGGTATTTCCAAATTGCTCTCCTAAGTGGTTGTTCCAATTTACACCTCAACAGAAGGTAAGATTTTTTCATTTCCCTATATCCTTCCCAATACATGACATTTTCAGACATAGATTTGACAATCTGATGGATGTTTTGATTTGTATTTATCTGATTACTAGAGTGAAGCTGAGCACATTTTCTTTTACTTCTTTTTCTATTGGAATATCTTTCTCTGATTTACGAAAGTAATATATATTTTCTGAATACTAATCTTTTGTTTAATATATGTTACAGTTATCTTCTCTCAGACTGTGGCATTCCTTTTAATCTTGTTTATGGGATATTTTATCAAACAGAAGTACTAAATTTGGAGTGTTAAAATTTATTAGGTTTTTCCTTCACAATTTGTGTTTTTGATGTTACATTTAAGTAATTCTTCCTTCCCCTGTGATCATGAAATGTATTCTCCTATAATTTCTTCTAATAGTTATAAAGTTTTTAATTTATGCCAGGTTTAGATCTTTTCTATCTGGAGTTCAAGTTATAGCAGTGGCCCCCAAACTGTAGTATGGGGATACACCTGTAGAGTCCCCAAGACACTTTCAGGAGGCCTATAAGGTCAAAACTATTTTCATAATCATACTAAGATGCTATTTGTCTTTTTCACTCTCATTCTCTCATGAACAGTGGAGTCTTCCAGAGGCTACACAACATGTAATAATGTCATCACTCAGATGCCTAACAGAATGTGTGCTTGTCTGTTCATGTGTTTTACAGATTTCTCAGTTTTAATTTCTAATATGATAAATATTGATAGATATAATCCACATAAAGAAAAGCTCTGTAGGACCTTCATTAATTTTTAAGAGTATGAAGAAGTCCTGAGACCAAAAAGTTTGAGAATTGCTGGTATAAGAAAGAGATCCGTTTTTCTTTTTTTTAGTATAGAAAGTCAGTATTCCGCAAATCCACTAGGTTTATAATGTTTCCTCTATCATATGTCATGGCCTCATATGTACATGTGTCTACTTCAGAGCTTTTCTTCATATTACAAACACTGTATTGTCTAATTACTACAGCTCTACCAGGAACTTCCTTTCTGAAAAGGCAAATTACATTCCTTAATTTCTTTAGAATTGTCTTGGGTCTTCTTAAAACTTTTCTCTCTGTAACTTTAGAATCAGCTTGTCAAGTTCCACAAAAAAATCCTGTTGAGAATTTGATTGAAATTGCATTGCGTTGTGGAGAACCATACTTCTTATAGCATTGATTTTCTATTCTGTGAATTTGGTGTTACATATTGCATACTTTTTATTCCAATCTTCTCTTTTTTTTGACCTTTGCTATTTATAACATTCTTCATAAATGTTTTACACATTTGCGTTAATTTATTCCTAAGTATCTTAGTATTTCTGTTGCAGGTATAAATGTGATCTTTTCCTCTCATTCATAGGTATATGGAATTCTGATTACATAGGCATATAGGATTGCTATTGATTTTTCACATTGATCATGCATTCAATCATACTACTCAACACTTAGTCATTGTAATTTTTTTCTTCTTATAGAGCTTCCTGGAGTTTCTGGCTGAGAAATGATACTGTCCACACATATTTTTTATTCTTCCTTGCTAATCACTAAATACCTCTTTTTCTTTTATCTTAAATACACAAACTAGAACTTATAGTATCATGTTTAATTGTAGAGGTTTCAGCAGGCTTGTTATATTCTTAATGCTAATAGGAATGCTTCTATAGTCCCATAATTAAATATGTTATAGACTCTTCATATATACCCACATAAAGTAAATATTGCTAGTTAACTATAACATTTTGTTTAAATTATAGTTCTTAACTTTGTAATGCTTTGTTTATATCCATTGAGATAAGCATATGGGTCTTCACTTTTTAATCTGATAATAAGGTAAATTACAGATAGATTTTTAAATCGTAGTACTATATTTACATTTGGAGCAAATTTTATTTGATGTATTATTCTGTATACTTTGCTGGATTTGATTTCATAATTACTTAGGATTTTCGTGTCAATGTTAAAAATCTGTAATTTTCTTTGTCTATAGAGTGTCCTATTTTGGTATCAAGACTATACTAACTTTGTAATATAAACTGAATATCCTTTACTCTTCTTGTCTAAAATAGTTTGTGCAAGTTAGTATTGTCTGTTCCATGAAATTTGGTTAAATTCACCTGTAAAGCCGTCTGGCCTGGCTTCTTTGGCAAGGGATGGAAGGATGACTGGGAGGGGACTGTTGGGAGACTTTTGACTATTGATCTATTATCTTTACGATGTTTGATTTATTCAGATTTCATATTTCTTCTAGAGTTAACTCTCAAATTTGTGTTTTTCTGGTAAGTTGTGGATTTCACAACAGTTTTCAATTTACTGACATAAGACTACACAATATTAAAAAATTTCCAGTATAACAAATATTTCTAATTTCTACTCTACTATATATATCTCTAGTTATATTCTTCTTTGAATTCCTCATATTGCTTATTTATGCTATCTGCTTTTCAATGTGGCTTACTAGAGGTTTATTTATTTTATTGGTTTCCTCAAAGAATCCATCTTTTAATTTCTTAATCAATTTCACTTTTTTTTTTTTTTTTTTTT